GCCTATAATTTCATGTGATCTTTGTGCAACATCTTTATGGCACTGATAAAATATCATGTCTGAGGCATTTTGTTGGTGCAGCAGTAGGTAGCCATAGCCAATATACTTATCTGTTGCTACCAACAAGCAAAAGGGAAAAGCAATTCGTGTTGCGATTTTCCTGCCAGGATTTTAATTGGTCAGTCAGGTTGACTGATGGATGGGAGCAGTCCCCCAGGAGGACCAGAAAGATGGGGTTTCCAGTCCAGTCTACCTGGGGAGAATAAACCATTGTCTGAAAGCTCCAGAGCAAACTTCAGCTTCAGAGCTTTCCCCACCCACATACTCTCTGATGTTTCAGTGTTGCATAGTCAATAAAGAACTAACAGTAAATCAAATAATCAGTAAATCAAATAAATAATCAAATAAAATGGGGCTAATTGGATATAGGACAACATTTCTGTGAATGTGGAAAAATTCAATGAATGCAGCATTTATGTGCATGCAATTTATGCTGCACCACATGTACAAAAGAAGATCTAGTAAATGGCCAAGATAACTCTATTGAAGTAGCCCACTTCTGGTCAAAAACAGTCTAATCTTTTTAACATTTTAAATTTGTTTGAATGTTATCTATATATCTGTAATTTTAAATTGTGCAAAGCTCTGATATGAATAAAGAAAGAGAATTAAAGTGCAGTAAATTTGTCACACCTTTGTTGAGAGTGTTCCTGAAGCATAAATATGGATCCAAGTGGTAATGTAAGGACCCCATGTATGTGGGATGTCCTCCCAGGGGGAGCCCCTTCATGGATCATGGCTTGGAGTGATCATGTGGATTCCCAGCCCAAGGGCTGCTGCATGCTCTCCAACCCTCAGGGAGGACCACTCAGTGGCTGATGTCCATGTGGTCAGCATCAGATACCAGGCAGAGTGGTTGATGGGGATCCATCCTCTATGTTATGAGTTGCCAGGTGATAATGGCAGCTATAACCCATAAAATTGTGGCAAATCTTATACCAAAGTAACGTGTCTTTGTGTGGTTGTTTTGTGCTTCTTTCCCCACAAGTTCCTTTCCCTCCAATTCCTTAAGATGCTGTTTCTCCCATCCCACCCATTTTCAGCTATTTTTGGTACTCCCGCCCCAGACCACCATTAGTCTCTCTGCCAAACAGATGTCTGTGCACTGGGACTTTTCAAACTACTTTGTAGGGCGTTAAGAGCAACACTTTCTGTTACTGTCCATAAGTACACTAATTCTAAGGACAAACATATTTGTAAGATATTTGTTTCTCTGCTTTGTCTTAAAATTATTCTGGGACCTCAAAGTTATAATCTTAAACGTGTGAGCTCATATGATCCTGACAGAGTGGGTACAGGTACCTTTGGGGATGGGTGCAAGTTGGGTGGAATTGTGCCCTGAGTGTCAAGGATTCACTGGCTATTCGCAAAGCAAACAGACACAGGATGGTGCCTTCTAGGAAATAAGAGTGGATGGCAGATACCTTATCTTGTTTAGCAAGCAGGATTTTTCCCAGCCATCTGCTAAGCCAAGGAGAAAAACCAAAATAGCTGAGAGTGGGTGGGTGAAATAGTGCCTTAAGGCAGGGGTCCCCAACCTCGGGGCATCCAGATGTTCTTGGACTACAACTCCCAGAAGCCTTCACCACCACCTCTGCTGGCCAGGATTTCTGGGAGCTGAAGTCCAAGAACATCTGGAGGCCCAAGGTTGGGGACCCCTGCCTTAAGGGACAGGAGGAAAGGAATGTGTGGGGAAATGAGCAGAAAAGGTTAAGCCATGGGAAACACAGTGATACAGAGGGAGTTGTCAGGTAGAAGCAGTAAAGCCAGTTTGGTTTACAGTCATTTCTCTCCATATCAAAGAGCTGCCCTGGAGAGTCTGATTTCTGAGCCACCCAGGAGTAAGCCTTCCACTACTCTAGACAGCTACTTTAATCTAGTTAAGTTAACCTCCCCCCCAAAAAAAACTAAGGGAGGAGAAAGAGGCTTTATAGGGGCCTTGTACTTGGCATTTAAATACGTATCGTATCTTTTCCTTGTCACATATGTGAAAAGATGTGAGCTCAAAGTTTTCTCAAGGAATGAACTGTAACAAATCCCTTCCCCATTTTCACTAACCCAATTCAGGAGGCATTGCTATTCTCAGCAAGAAGACCATGTTGCACTGTCTGTCATCAAGGAGTTAAAACGGGAGAGTTTCTAAGAACATACAAAAAGTAGGAACCCCAATACACAGTATATGTGTTATGAGCTGTCACTTCTGACTTCAAGCTACCCTTTGACTTAATTACCTCCAACATTGCTCTTATTAATAGTCCTGCTAAGGTCTTAGTTTCCTTCACATTTATAAACCGAAGAGTAGGAATAAAAACATTTAAAAATTATATGGTCAAAATAACGGTCCTGGACAGACAAATCTATCCATTTAAATTCATTCAAGATAAAAGTGCTGCATTTATTTCTTCAGTTATGAAGATATTTACCAATTTGGTATTTTTTTATTAAAAACGAAAGCAGAAACAAAGCTTTCTGTTGGAGCAGCTGCAGAAACATAATGAGCACTTTGTCATTTGCACATTATCAAGACTTTGAGTAAATGATTGTCATATTCTCCCCTTCAGATCAGTTTCTTTCATTTACAAAGAATATATTTCACAATTACAGTTCCTACTTTATGGTTCCTCTATTGTTTCTGTTAAAATTTATTATTTCTTTATTTTATTTAGAATATTTTACCCCACCTTACTCCTTAAAAAGAATCCAAGGCATCTTACATCATTAAAAGAAAATACTTAATTAATTAAAAACAGTATAAATACAAATGCTAAAAAGAATCGAACAAATGCACTAAAAATGGTAAACAAAAACAACACCCAAAACACATTTGAAGCAGTAAGGCACAACAATCAGTTTAAAAAACCTACTCAGGTACTCAATTGTTGAGGGAAACCTTGCCTGGCACTATAGGAACCTGACAAATGTTTGCTTATTTTATATTGTTCATTTAAACTCTGCCTTTTTTTAAAAAAGAAGAAAGCAAGCAACAATTATTCAAATTGATTGGTTGTCTGGCTTGCTAGAATAATGAAATAGACAACATCTGAAATTGGTTGATGTTAACTAATTTGAACTTATAGAGGTTTGTATTTATTCCAAGCATTTTAATGAGCTTAAGTGTGATTCAGGAAATTCAGTTTCATTTCTCTAAATAGAAATGCATAACGAAGGTTCATTAGGAAATGTATTTCACATACAATATTCAGGAAAATATGCATCAACACAACAGGGGTATAATTCAAGCACAACTGCTGCACAAACTCTATTAATTTCAAAACACTGAAATAAATGGAGATTGAGCAGTAGCAGTGGTTAGGGCACTGTATCTTTATTTATACATAATTTTGGAATGAAAAGGGTCATACAGCAAATGTTGCAGCAAATAAACCAATCAGGTTTAATTACAAATGAAAGGCTGTTAAATGGAGGATAGTGTATTATGGCATCTCTCTTCTTATTTGAAACATGTCCAAATGAGTTATCATTACATAAGGATCTTGTATAACTAGGATATCTTGTTATCTAGGCTCTCATATTCATGCTAGTGGGGACAGCCATTCTGAATTAATTTGAAATAATATGATGTTCTGCCCAATCACTTATCTCGGATTTTCCGCCTACTACATTCTCTCTCACACCTTTCTGAGGATTTAAAGCAATGTGATGTTCAACACAGGTATCATGCCATTCAGAGCACTGCAAGAGCCTTCCACTACTGGCCACATTATTTAGAAGTATTGGAGGAGACTAGTATGGTGTGATTCTCTACCCAAAATTGGCAGTCGGAAACAAAAGCAGAGATAATGGTGCTGGCACAAAACTGTTCTCCAGATTCATACAAAGGTAGCATTTTTATTAGGTCAGCCAAAAAGATATTTTAAAAAAGTGTGTAGAAGCACAAAGAAGAAACAATATCCTGCATCAGGCAAGACGTAAATAGGAAAGAATACAGTTCATCAGGCAAGATCTATAAAAAATAAGCCTCACCTTATCTCCACAAGCCATCCACTGAAAGTAACATTATTGCTTTTACTGAATTACTTCCAAGCTTTGATTGCAATACAGGGGGGAAAGGTTACCTTTCTCTTCCAGTGTTATCATCTTTCTCTGTACCACATTATTGCCACTTCATTAATCCGAATACTTCTTTCAAAATCAAAACCAAATGGTTTCAAAAGGAGGAAAGTGGCCCTGTTCTCCATTTTGCTTTATTGTGTACCAGGCTAACAAGTATTACTGGTATGGTCATTTGCTTTTGTTTCATTCTGAATGTATTGACTACTTCATCTGGTCCTTTTTTGTTTCTCCTCCCTACCTGATCTTACCTGGCAAATTTTATTTGTGCACCAGAAGGGTAATTATAATCCAGTGACTAGGACAAGATTCTGCTTGGACTCAATTTTGCATTTCTGTAAGATTTTTTTCCTCCAGCTACTGCATGGTAAGAATTATGAATAATAGGACCATGTGCAGGGTCTCTCGTGTTGGACACAGATAACAATTAAACTAGAAAAGTGGTTTACAGTTCAGTCAAGGAAATCCTAGTTATGCATCTTCAATATCACAGCAGAATCTGCTTATGTTTATTATCTTCTGTCTGACTAGACAACATTATTCCATTTATAAAGCAAAAGCATGCTGCTTATATACAGCCCCATAGTGCTTCAAGCACTCTCTGGGCAGTTTACAAGTTAGTTATGCAGGCTACACATTGTGTGGTTCTCACTCCCTCCCCCTTATCATGCACATACTTCAGTGCTTCAGAACTCAAGAATAATCCCAGAAATTTGAATTCAGAACTCCTTTTTCATAAAACACAGTGTAAGCACTAACTTGATCCACAACTTACAGAAGAACTACTAGTAGTTTAAGTCGTAAGAGCTCTGACAACACATAGCATAATCAAAATACTAAGCTCACATAAAGATGTAACAGTGCTTTACCTCAGTCAGGTGAGGATTGGGGTTGAATCCACACTGGTTGCAGACCTTGTTGTGACACTGCGTACAGGTGTTAAAATTTGGCTGGCTAGGGAGGGAAGTGAGTTCTGTTGTCTTGCATATGGGACAGAGAGTGCTGCTGGGAAGGGGTGCAATCTGAGGGACAGAATAAGGTGAGGTAGGGGTACTGCCTCGATCAGGTGACACAGAGGGTGAGTGTCCTGATCTCTGGTCCCTGCTGTCCACTTGGAGAGTCCTCCTCGGCCCATCAGCCTGTTGTGGGGTCTGTCCATGGCTCCTTATCTCTTTTGTGCTTTCACTGGTCTGAGCAGGCTGTTTCGGAGATGGAGAAGCTGCTCTCTGCCCAAAAGAGGGGTCCGATTGATCTGGTCTTCTTGGTGTGCTGAAACATAATCAAACATGTATATAAGAAATTGGGCTGCAGATTATTTGGGCAAGACATGGTTATTACCACTGCCATTCCTACACCTATCTTAGAACTGGTGAAGATACAACATGTCATTAAAACCAACTTGTCAAGCTGCCATGACTTGTCATACCAGCTAAAATCAAGCTGTATCAGTCTTAAAGTGAGGGGCAATATGTGCCAAAAGGACAAATCTATTCCAACAAATAGAGTCCCAGTATAGGGGAAAAAGATGATTGTTTGTAAAATGACCTTCAATTCCCTTCTACCCTGTTTCCCTGAAAATAAGACCTACCCTGAAAATAAGCCCTAGTATGGTTTTTCAGGATGCTCGTAATATAAGCCCTACCCCAAAAATAAGCCCCAGTTAAGTGAAACCCTGCCCTCCACCATTGTGTAGCATTGTGCAGCAACCAGAAGATGACATGGCTGTAAAATAAAACATCCTCTGAAAATAAGCCCTAATGCGTTTTTTGAGCAAAAATTAATATAAGATCCTGTCTTATTTTCAGGGAAACACGGTAGCAGAAAAAATGTTCAGCCTACACCAGTTGAAACAAATTCCATCCATTATGTTGCTTCAGTAGTATAACATAGCCACAGGATGTGTAGACAATCCAACTGTTTGCAAAAAGGAAAGGTGTTTAAAACCCTGCTGGTTGTTCACTATTCCTAATGTTAAAATAGGTCAATAGATTGCAAGAATCCATTTTTAGTAAAAAAAAAAATTCAATGTACATACAATGCTATTCTTTCCTACTTCTCTCATTAGAGAATATTTCAACCATCCAGAATGACTAAATTCACAAGAATCCAAATGAAAGAAAACGGTTGCTCTGACTTGTTATATTGTAGTTCCATATCTGATGTATACCCAAAATTAATAAAGACCCATCATTCAGAAACAGCAAATTTTACACCAGTTCTCTGAGTCAAAGAGATAAACTTTGTCTTGATTATTTTGAATTCCTTTGTGACTAATACATTATAAACAACATTATGAGCAGAGTAAAAAAATGCATGAATATATTTTAAAAGAAAAGCACTGATGTAACTGGTTTTCAACCAACTTTCCCTAATTCCATTATAAAAGGGGATTTGTTACAAAGGAAGGTTGTTCTCCTGGCTAGGCATGTTTTATCTTGCAATTTCATTTTCTGTGATAACCTAGCGTAGCTCAAATTTACACTACTACTCTGTCCGAGTCAGCTCCCTGGTAGCATTTTAACATGGCTACCTGATCAGTGAGCTCACATGGGTGTTTCCTGTGTCATTAGTGACTTTGATCAAGGGGAGGTGGTAAGACAGAATTCTGAAAACAGCCCTTAAGATATCCAAAATGGGCCTTTAACAAACTAATGTCCCACCCAGGAGGACAACTGATCAGTCCAAGACCCAGAGCCAATGGAAGAACCTGGTAATTCCTTACATGGCAGGTGTGTCTGAAAAGCTCAAAAGGATTTTTGATAAACATCACATACCCATGCATTTCAAACCCACAAACACATTAAGGCAGAGCCTCGTTCACCCAAAAGACCAGACACCAAAACACAACAGGAGCAATACAGTGTATGCGGTCCAATGCAAAGAGGAGTGTTCAGAGCTCTACGTTGGAGAAGCTAAACAGCCACTAAACAGGAGAATGGCCCAGCACAGGAGGTGCAATAGCTCAGGACCACAATCAGCAGTGTTCCTTCATTTGAAGGACAAAGGACACTCATTTGATGACCAAGATGTACTCATTTCACAGACAGAGAAGATAGGTGGTTTGAGAGAGGGAATCAAGGAGGCCATACATGTGCATATAGAAAATCCCTCACTCAGCAGGGGTGGAGCCTTAGATACAATCTGTCTCCTATTTATCATGCTGTCCTTTCATCCAACCCCAGAAAGATCAGAACCACACAAACAAGAAAAAACATGGTTAACGACTGTTAATGACTCATGACAATGAGTGGAGAAGGACTGCAGAAGTAGAATTTTCACTTACTCCCAGTCCTTTGTCCTTCTAACAAGCCTATTCAGACCAGGGGGAAGTGAAACCAACATGGAGGATATATCCTACCAACTCTCCTCAGACTGAAGAAGCTACTTGGATGAGTAGCAAACCATTTCAACCTATTAAGAAAGAAGTCCAGTTGCCATGACTCAACTTCCAGATAACCTCACCTGGATGACTGAGAATCTTCACAGATATATTCATTTTGTGGTTGCAATTTTTAATTTATTATTTCTTCTTCGATTTGTATCTCACTCCCATTAGTGCTAAGAACTATTCTGGGCAGTTACAACAAATATAAAAACAAAGGATGAATAAAAATAAAAGCACTAAAAGCAATTGCAATACCTATTTTTTTAAAAAAAACAGATGGCACAAAACAATCATATGGAAACCAAAGCAGACAGAAGAAAAAAGGAATAGATGATCTGCCAGGGTTGGTGTGGAAAGCCTCCCTGGAAAGCCAGATCTTTAGCTGCTTCCTAAATGTCAGCAGGGAGGGGGCTAGGCGGAACTCCTCCAGAAGCTAGTTCCACAAGGCTGGATCCACCATGAAGATGGCCCTCCCTCTTGTAGAATACTTACACTCCTCCCTCAGGGTAGCCACCTGGAGGAGCCTTCACTGGGATGATCTTGTGGGTCAGACAGATGACATTTAGGAAAGATGCTCCAACAAGTAACATGGACCAAAACTATGCAGGGCTTTGTACGTGGGTATCAAAATCTTGAACCTGATCCAGGACACAACGGGCAACAAGTGATGGTGAGCCAGCAGTGATGTGCTCAAATTTACTTGCACCCACCACCAGTCTGGCTGCCACATTCTGGACCCACTGAATTCTTTAGATCAAGCCCTAGGGAAGTCCCATGTAGTGGATACTGCACTAGTTGATCCGGGGGATGACCAAGGCCTGCACCAAAGTCCTAAGAGAGCCTTTAGAATTGCAACAGCAATATCTGCAGATATGAAAACAATTATAATAATGAGGCTGTTATTGAATGGCCAGAATTTAAACATTTGATTGTAATATATGACACAAAATTACCTCCATTGTTTAACAGTGGTAGATGGCAGTGAGGCTATAATCCTGACCTAATAGTTGCTAGTGAGAACATAGCACATCAACTGTATTTTAAGTACCCCAATACCAGAACTCCCAACACAGACCTACTGTATTGCATGTTAGATCTTTGCAGTGGTTCATCAGGAAATAGTGCCATTTTGTAGAAGATATAATTGGAAAAAGTCCGACTAGAAAAAGTTTACAACAATTTTTGATAATGCTACAATACCGATCAATGTTCTGCCAGAAAATTGTTATCAGTTTGTGGCTGCAGCGCTCCTCCATCTCCATTCCTCATAGATGTCAAACCAATCATATTCCAGGTGTTACCCCAGAAATAGCTAGCTCATCTTTTGAAATTTGAAGAACATTTATGTAGATGAGATATGGCTTTGTCTAGGTGTAAACCTATGGTTTTGACCCTAGCCAAAGCAAGAAGATATCATTAGTTAAATATTATAGACGATCATTATATGTCCAGAAACAGAAACAAAGCATAGAGGTTTCTTAAGCACCTCAATAATGATCCAGATAGGTCACACAACGTCTCCTCCAACCAAAGAGCACAAAAAATTCTCCAGAGTAGTAAAATTGGACAAACAAGACAAAAATCCAATGATATGGGTGGTGTAAATCAAATAAATTAATAGCCAAGTTTATGTCTGTGGTGATATGAAAGAGCAATTAAGAATGCAAGGATGATAAAACTAATGGACTAGTTGATATTTGGGTAGAGAAGATTAAACAGTTTGGACCAAAAACAAAAGATTTGCTATTACATTTTAAAAACAATTCTCTTTTTAAAAATCAGATCCCAAAGATATGACGGAAGACCCATGCTATTGTTATATTAAAACAAGCTAAAGAACAAAGGGATCCTGTAAGCTACAGGCCAATCTCATTACACCGACATCTATACAAAGTGTCTCAAAGAATGCTTTGGATAAATTAATAAGCAAATTTGAACCTTTTCTTATTCCTGAAAAAGTAGGTTTCTTCAGGAATAAGAGTTGTACAGCTCAGGTCCTAAACTTAGAAGATGATTTTAAAATGATTAAAATTATAGGAGTGGTCTTTGTTGCCCTATCAGCTGTCTATTACACCATCCAGCATCAAATAATGCTGAGCAAACTGTACCATCTTACCAAAGACTACTATTAATAAACATGTGCCATCAATTCGACTCTGATTTATGGCAACATTTTTCAGGATTTTTCAGGTAAAGAATACACAGAAGTGGTTTATCATTCCCTTCTTCTGTGGGGTGCCTTGGGATTGTGCAGCTTGCCCAAAGACACACAAGCTAGCAATACTCAGTGAAGGCACAGTGGGGAATCAAACACCCAACTTCTCCTCACAGAGCTATCCAGCCAGCGACCAAAGATTACAGACTACAGACTTACAAAAGTTGTTGCTACCCTTCCTTCAGAACCACTCTTTTTGTTTTTGTTGTTGAACTGGAAGACAGATAAAATTATGGAGAAATTAAAAGAATAGCCTACCTCAGGGTAGTATGTTATTCCCACTTATTTTCAACAGATACACAAAAGATCAGCCTATAATATTGAATACAAGAAGTTTTATCTATGCTAGTGACCTAGCTCTATCAGCTCAGAGCGACAATTTCAAACATGTAGAATGCCAGCTTGAAGCACAGCATATGTACAATTAAATAAACTGTAATCAATTAAAAGCTGCAAGTAGCCAGGAATGGGAGGGAGGGCGGGTTTGCATAGCTATAGCATTGTTACTAGGGGGTGTTATTTTGGACAACAAATATAAAGATGCTGCCAGTAATTGCCTATTAAGACCTTTCTAGAACTGACTGGGAGACTCATCCCCAAAACTTTGCAAACATCAGGCCTGGCCCTGTGTTTCTCTACTGCTGAATATGCTTGTCCAGTGTAGCATTA